TCAAATGATACGTGTTAGTTCTCAATGCATGAAACAATGCAATTGGATATTGATTAGCTATCCTATTTAAAATTATATATTTTATTTGCTTCCCCTGTTGTTGTGCCTTGTGATTTTACAACAAAACATAGTGTAATGCAATATAAAGTAATTATCATAGGTGTAAACCCAACATGTAATATAGCCAAGGGGGAAATTAGATTTGTTTACCTACTATTAATTTCACTGGTGACAAAACCTCATTCTGATGGGGCAAAGATTTAGACTAGGAAGTTGTTAACTTTCCTTCTTTAGGAAATGTGAAAAGAATGAGGAAAAAATACTACAAATAAAAGGCCAAATACCTAAGTCATCCTTCGGTGTTTGTTCAATGCAAATTCAGGCAGAACTTGCCATGATTCGTAGGTTATAAGACTGAAGGGATTGCTGTGATCCCTTATTCTTACGTCCTGCATATCACAGAGCATAGGACTTTTCTGAATTTGTGTTTAAACTAGAGCAGGGGCGGGGCCAGGACACTTCTGTGCTTCCCTGCCCTCAGACTCTGATTGGTCTGGGGGTGGGGTAGCATGTGAAGTCTTTGCTCCCACCCCAGCTCCAGAGAGAAAGTATCCCTGGCAGTGGGAGGAAACTTTGCACACTCCCCTTGTCCCTAGGACAATCAGGCCTTGGGGGTGGGGAAAGCACACAAAGTCTCCTGCCACCCTGCCCCGAACCTGCAAGGAGTTTAGAAATGCTGCACCCTTTGCTAGGCAGGAGGAGACTTCGTGCTCCTCCTGTCCTGCCTCCTTCCTGAAAGGAGCGTGTGCTGCTTCTAAGTGCTGCGCGTTCCCTGCTAGAAGGGATCAGGGCAGGAGACTTAATGTGCTCCCCCTGACACCAAGCCTTGATTGACCTGGGCGTGGGAGGAAAGCACGAAGTCTCTCGCTTCCTGCCCTCAGGTACATGGTGCTTAGAGTCAACCGCCAGGGTTGACAGCAGTAGGGTCTCCGTTGTCCAGATCAACCCGCTTGGCAGGCTGGATCCAGTCTGTGGAGGCCCTTTTGATCATCCCTGAACTAGAACATATCTTTCAGAAAAAAAATTGATTTTTAAATTCCCAGTGGTAAAGAATCCACTAGAGTCCTTGGTAAATTGTTCCAATGGTTTGTAACTAGAAAAAGGATGAAAATAAAATCCAGTTTAGACCAAAAAATCCAAATTTGTTTTGTTTCTGGTTGACCAAGAACAATTTGGTTTTTTTTTTAAATGACTCCTCTAGCCACAAATTTTATTCAGTCCAATCTGAAACATGTTTTCATTTTGGGGGCGATTTTTACCCTATGTATCAAATCTATCTAAATTAAACATTATTTTGAAATAAAAAGTTCAAACATTTCTCTTAGAAAATGTTGCAAAAAAGCATTTTGACTTTTTTGAAAAAAGTTCTCTCGTATTTTCTGTCAAAATTATTTGCTGGATCATCATGAATTTGTGACCATTTATACTCAACCAGAAACTGCATTTTTCAGCAAATAAACTGCTCACTGAAAATTTTTGCACAGCTCTATTAATTACCTGCACTGTTAAACATTTTGGCTTTTAAAAAAAATTTTCTTCTAGCCATTGGCTCTTCGTAGACCTTTCTCTGCTAGATTGAAGAGCCCATTATCAAAGTTTTGTAGGTATTTAATCACATTTTAATGGATGTGTGTGTCAGATAAGTACTAAATAAAATTGAGGAGGAGGTGCTCCAAGGACCAAAGTTCTTGGTTGTCTGACTAAAAATGTTGACTGGTGTGTCATTCTTTATGGTGTTCTGTTAAGCTTGCTCTATGTGGTAAAGTTTGCAAACATGCGTATGTTAATATGGTTACATAAAGTTATATTGGGCCAAATCCCAAAGGCCTCACACACTTTTTAAATAGTGCTTATATTAAGACACTACAGATCCCAGTAGAGGTGTGACTGAGTCAAATTAAGACCTCAAGTTTGGCCCATGAAAACAAATAATGTATTGAGCTCTGATTCCTATTAAAAGGACACTTGAACCTTGTGTAAATAGTGATGACTGAAGTAGGCAGAGTCATTCATTTATATTCCAGAGAAGGCCCTATACTGGATTAAATCTAGACTGAACATGTTAATTTGATTTCAATGGTCTAGAGAGTAAGAACAGCCCTGCAAGTACCCAGAGAAGACTTAAAACCTTGCAGTCTTGTAGAAAGCTGGTGTCACTGGTATATATTCTAACCAAAGTGCTAAGCCTGTTTGCCAGAGTGAGCAGTACCTGGGCAGTTAAGCTGCCTCACAAGTGACCCCTTTGTGCAGTTTAAAAGAATAGCCAGAGCCTAATACTCAGGCTGTTATCTCCAGGTGCTGAGCCCCTGAAAGGCAGAACTGGATTGAGACATAAGCACTACTATAGGTCTGTGCCAAAGGTTCTGGCTTCTGAAATCATGTAATGGAGTCTGAATGTGAGCTTTCCTTTTAAAAAAGGCTACACTCTAACACTCATGGTTGTGAACAAGACCTTGGAAATGTGAGCTAAGTGTAACTATTGTCTCCTGAGTCAATAGACAGGCTGAAGCAGTACCCTAAATTGATTTGAGAGCTACCCCATTCACTTTAATTGGTTGTTAATTCTGACAACCTTTTACCCTGAGACAAAAGACAGGACTATGCAGCACTTTAAAGACTAACAATATGGTTTATTAGGTGATGAGCTTTTGTGGGCCAGACCCACTTCCTCAGATCAAATAGTGGAAGAAAATTGGCATGACCATATATACCAAAGGGATACAATCAAAAAAAGTGAACGCATATAAAAAGGACAAATCAAATTTCAGAACAGAAGGGGGATAAGGGAGGGAGGTTAATGTCTGTGAGCTAATGATATTAGAGGTGATAATTGGGGAAGCTATCTTTGTAATGGGTAAGATAATTAGCATCTTTGTTAAGGCCCAGTCATAAAGTGTCAAACTTAAGCATGAATGACAGTTCAGAGGTTTCTCTTTGAAGTCTTGTGTTAAAATGTCTTTGAAGCAGGATGCAATGCTTCATTGCAATGAGACAATGCCCTTTCTGGTTGACATGGCAAGAAACTGTTTTTTCTTTGTGAAACTGTCTGATGTCTGTTTTGTGGGCATTGATTCTTTGGTGAATTATCTGAGACGTTTGTCCAATGTACATAGCAGACGGACACTGTCGGCACATGATAGCATAAATTATATTTCTGGATGAGCAGGAATATGTGTTCTTGATCTTATAACTGAATTGGTTAGGTCCTATAATGGTGTTAGCAGAGTAAATATGTGGACGAAGTTGGCAACGGGGTTTGTTGCAAGGGAAAGTTCCAGGTTTGGTATTAGTGTTGTATATCCTGTGGTTGTTGGTAAGAATCATCCTGAGGTTAGGTGGTTGTCTATAGGAGGCTATGGGTCTGTCTCCCAGAGCCTCTCAGAGTGTAGTATCCTGTTCCAGTATAGGTTGTAGTTTATACCAGACTAACACAGCTACATCTCTATTACTATTTTACCCTGAGGAGCATTGACAATTATGAGCCTACTGGGGATTGCTGCCTGCCCAGAATGATGGCAGTTCATGCCATTACGGCATTACCACTCCTTGGTGGGAAGGGCCACAGTTGTTGGAGTGTGGCCTTGGCCTGCACCTCTAGTCCAAGGAGTGGCCTCTGTGTGGTGGTGTGCTTAGTCACAGATTGCCTTAATCCAGTCCTGATAAGTGAAGAGATTCCATCTCAGAGAAGTGAAGCGGGAGAGAAAAGAGGAAAAGGGAAAGAAGACAGGGAGCAGGGAAATGAAAAACAGAGAAGCAGAAGAAATGGGAGGAGAACAGGTGTATTAGAAGCCAATATCTGTTGCTCAGCTAGGGTTCAGTCAATGCTTGGATAACTTCTCTAGCTGATTGCTCCCTAATTTATCTAATCTACTTTGATGGTTCCTTGACTCTCCTCTCATTGAGCTGATCTGGTGCATCAATATGATCCATAATGTACCTCAGGCCACTTTTCCCAGTGATAATTACATACAGGTGGCTTAGGTAGGGCACGGGGGTGAGGTACTAGATCTCTATCTGCAACTCCGGCAGCTTGTAAGCCATCGGAATGCAGGCATTCAGGCTGACACTCATCCAAGCTAATGCCTTGGATGAGTGGATTTTCAAGCACCCAGAGTCTGCATCTGACTCTGGTTCTAACTTTTTAAAAAGGAAATAAAAATACTAATTTTGAACACCTTAACAAATGTTGACTAAATAAACCATTGGCCATTGTAAGTAAACTGACTGAAGTCAGAAGTCATACCCCAGATTCTGTGTTTGTGGAGGGGGACTGCTCTAATTATCATCCTTGCCTAAGATCTTGCTGTTCCTTCTGCCTGAAGAATATAAGAACATAATACACAAAACCCTGCATTATTACAGTTGCATTTATAAATTGCTGACCCATTTTGTGTTTTGATGCACTGTTGTCACTCAGAGGTGGATAATGATGGCTCAACTGACTACTGTAGTAATGCATTTAAAGCTGGGAAATCTGTCATTAATGATGTTTTAACGCAGGAGCAATAAACCATGAATGAAATTTTAAATTAGTTACTGTCAAACGATTTGTCTTAAAAATTTTCTTACATTTTGTTTTTATATGTTTTTTGAAGCTGCTGAATTGTTTGATGGACAAAGACAAATGTATAGAATGTTTCAGTAATTCACTTCTACTTCTCAGTACTCACCATCATAAATTATACAGCCAGCCTGAATATGTAGTGCTAGAGATGATCCAGAAATGTTTCATTTTTTATGCTATGAGTTTTTACCAGCTTGACTTATTGAAGTGATCATATGCTTCTGTAGACATGACATTACCATTGCCCTTGGACATACGACACACATATACTGTGAGTGGGCAGATATCAACACAAAACATTATTTAGCTCTCAAGTCTGCTGCTGCTTGGCAGTTTAGGAAAACACCTACTTTCCTTTTTTTTCTTTTGTTTGCAGCACTTCTGTATGCAACCATTTTTGGAAACGTAACAACCATCTTCCAGCAAATGTATGCCAACACAAACCGGTACCATGAAATGCTGAACAGTGTCCGGGACTTCCTTAAACTCTACCAAGTGCCCAGAGGTCTGAGCGAGCGTGTGATGGACTATATCGTTTCCACTTGGTCAATGTCCAGGGGTATAGATACTGAAAAGGTAAGAGAAACCTGAAGGAGTCTCCATGTCACCTACCAAAACTTCTTCCAAGTTTGATAAAATATCAGCACTGAGGATTAAATAATTATCTGTTGAATTATTTAGATGCCAAGATTGCATCAAACAAACAAAATCTGCATTGATGGTACTTGGTTTTATATTCTCCTATGGCTAGAATTTGTTCTGATCATGTCTGAGTATCTAGGAGGATGGGGCACAGGTACCCCCGGTGGAAAGGGCCAGACACAATTGCAGGCTCTACACAGTGGTGAGGCTCAGTGGAATGCATGGTCCCTCCTCCCTCCGAAGGGAGTGGAAAGGAAACCAGGTCATACTGCTCAGGGAGCTGCCTCACCTCAGAGGAGCACATTGCAACTATGTGGTCCTGTGCACAGAGTACATAGTCTGCGCCTGTCACACAAGCATGGGGGTATTAGTTAGCATGTGGATGTACAGCGTATAGGTTATTAATATAGATTAGCTATTCTTGTAATAGAAGACAGTTTGAGATCTACTTTTCACTAGGGGAATATTCTCATAGGAATACTTGGATTTACAGGCACAACTCCCATTGTGTGTAGTGAGAGAATAAAGATCCTTTTGCCAAAACAGAAAACTTCTCTTCATTCCCTTCATATTAGGTGCCTACTTTTATGATAGTAGATATTGTTTTCCATTTGTCAGCAGAGAAATGAGCCTGGCATGTGTTGTTCCAGGACTGTTAATTCAGGAAATTACAACAGTGTTCCCATCTCCAGCCAGAACATGATTGGTTAATTTATTGTTCAAAATAGTGGCTGATGCCATTTTAAAAGCAAACAAATGCATTGTTTTCTAGCACTTAACATGCTGCTAGAGATGGCCAAGCAGATGCAGCTTGGGGATGGATTGTCTGGAGCTTCATGGGAAGATTGACTGTCTGACTTCCTGAGGGGCCCTTGAGCATTGCTTCCTGCCATCTGGATCCCAGAGTGTAGAGAAGCGGTCTCCATGAGGAATGATATTGCAGTACTGAACATTACTGACCAGCAGCTGCACTGACACACATACTGCTTCTTGTAGGATCAGGAAATGATGTAGAACCACCTGGAAAGGAGGTCAGGGAACAACTTGGGTACACAGAACAGTAAGATGATTGCACAAGAAAAAGTAATTTTGCATGTGAAGTATTGAAGATTCGTCCTCTTCATTCCCTCGGCTTTCTCTACTTAAAACAGAAATACTAACTATGTACTGCTAAGAGTGCCATTGGAGATAGCAATGTACAAATTAAATCACATCTGACACATTTCTCCTGCTAGAATTATTTCAATACACAAAGTCTCCAATTACAAGACTATCAATGAGCATATGATGTAGATTTCAGTAACTGACATTTTGGAAGCTTAAGTGCCAATGTTTATGGTTCTAAAATCAAAATTTTATAACAAGGACTAACAGTTTACCACTGACTAATAGTTGTATCGATTCATAAATTCTCAAGTCTGAGCTCCATTGATTTTTTTGCATTCATACACAAATTCCACAATGCTGCATAATGAATAAAATCCCAGCACAGCTGTCATTGTGGGTGTGTAATGTCATGCAGCCCACTATAGGTAAAACAAAATTTAAAGGTGAACTTATCCTCAGAATCAGTCTTTGTAATATGGTGCTTGACTAGTGCTCATTGTGAAAAAGCCTGGGGATGAATAGCCAATTAAAAGCAAAGGCAAGCCTGCAGGATTTGCAAATGTCATTAGAGCCGGCCCACAACATTTTGGCACCTGAGGGGGGGAGCTCAAATGATGTCCCCATGCCTCCTCGCTTGGGCCAAAATGTTGAAAGTTCTCAATTCTGCCTTCTTCCTGGTCTGTTCCTCTCATGGCACTCCACTATCTCTGTGCATCTAGAGCAGAGAGAATACATATGCACTAGCAGCAGACACAATTTTCTACACTCTGGGTCCTAGTGGCACTGCCCCACCCAGTCTGGCACCTGAGGCAGCCGCCTCAGTTCACCTCATGGTAAGGCCAGCCCTGAATGTCATTCTAATGAAGCTTAACAAAGAACCAGCATCAAACACTAACTAAACCATGATGACCCACTTTGGGCTTCTTTGCGATATTCATTCTGATGAACACTATTACAGCTCCAGGAACTCACAAGTATGTTAAACTCACTTTAGGTAACCACTTGTTTCACTGGAATTCTGAAGCCAGTGCTCAATAATTTTCTGAAACAGGAGTGCAAAATGCAATAATCTCATATTAGACAGGGAGCGAAAGCATTTTTTTATGAGAGTTTCCTAAAATCATCATTATCTCTTTCCAACACTGAGATAGGGTAGGGCCAAAGTTATGAACAGGTTCCATCCACTTCTATTTTGAGTTGCCCTTGGACCTTGTAGGGGAGTTGCCTGGAGGAATTCATACACCATGTTTTACCACATTCTCTATGACCATCCATTGCCTCTGTCTAATGCATTATTTCCGTACAGAACTTTTGGTGGGCAGTCGGTATGGGGTCATTTTAGCATAATGGCAAAACTATTGTAGTTGTCAACTTTTTAATGATTGTATAGATTGAACTTATCTAGTCCAGCACCCTCAGGACTTGACTGGTGCCAAACCAATTTGCTAGACCACGGGAGATCAATATAGTCGAGCACAGTGTTTCTCAAAGTGGTCCACGGATCCACTCTACTAGAAAACTGCTACTGGACCGCTCTGGTTTGTTTACTTACTGGTTCTGCAGCCATGGAGCCTCGTGGCTCCCATTGGCTGCAGTTTACCATTTGCAGCCTAGGGGAGCCACGGGAAACAGCGGCCCGGTAGAGCTTTCTTGGAGTGCGTCTGAGGACCACTTTAAGAAACACTGGTCTAGCAGCATTACCAATGCTTCCACTGCTTTTTGGGCTCTAGGAAGACATTTAGATTAGACCTATAGCACAGAACACTGAGAGCCTGGACTGGTGGCTTTAAACCCATGGTCACCAACCACTCGATCGCAATCGACTGGTCAATCGCGAGGCCTCGACCAGTCGATCGCGAGGCATTCAGGCAACCCCACCCCCCACCCCCGAGAAGCCCCACTACCTACCTCTAGTGTAGTGCCGGCTTCCCGCGGGGTGGACGGAAGTCCTATCTGAAGCCCAAGTCACTTCCCTGGGTTCCGGAAGTGCGCAGGCTGCTCCCCTCCCACAGCTCTGTTGCGTGCTGAGGGAGGGGGCGTCGGCCCTGAAGGAGGAGTGCGGAGGCTTCCTTGTGCCGCTGCTGCCAGAGGGGTGAGTTGAGCGCAGGGGTTTCCCTGTGCTGCAGGAGTGGGGGTCAGCTCCGGGGTTTGGCTGTGTTGTGGGAGGGGAGGGACTTGGCTGGGCCGGGCCGGGCCGTGGAAGGGGGGTTTGGCTCTGGGGTAGGCACACGCGGGGGTTGGCCGTGCTGCGTGAGGGGTTGGCTGAGTCGTGCCGTGCCGTGCCGTGGGAGGCGGGTTTGACTCCAGGGTAGGTGCCCGTGGGGGTTGGCCATGCTGCAGGAGGGGGTTGGCCGCGCTGCACCACGGGAGGGGGGTTTTGCCCCGGGGCAGGTGCCCGCAGGGGTTGGCCGCGCTGCGGGAGGGGAGGGGGGGTTGGGCCCGGGTTGGCCGGGCCGTGGGGCGGGGGAGCGGGGGCGTGTGGGC